CCCCAATACCCACTATTAGGGACTAGATACCCATACTTAAGAGTAAAAGGAGGGTCCTGGATGCTATTCGGATACGAGAAGACCAAGAAGAGTTTTGGTTGATGGAAACTACCTCGTAAAACCATCAATGGCAACGGAGCAGTTATTGACAGGATGTCCCTTCTTCACGACCCTACGTGACGTGTTTTTGTTAAAATTTCCTTAGATCCCTGTATTACATACCCCTTGTGAAACCAAGATCCTATTTCACGTTCCATCTTTTTCGTTTCCATGTGATTCTTCCTAAGCCCTAGACCCCAAAACCCTGAATCCTAAGCCCTAAACCCTCAACTTAATCAAAGCGTTAAACTGGGGACAAAGACTTTCGAGCTTACCCCTAAACCTCCAACCCCCAAACCCCTATACCTCTCGAACCCCCTCAAACCCCTAAACCCCGTAACCCTCCAACCCCCAACCCCCGAAACCATCCAACCCCTAAACCCACAAACCCCTAAACCCCCCTCAAACCCCTCCAACCCCCAAACCCCTCTAACCCCCAACCCCCTAAACCCTCCAACCCCTAAACCCCTAAACCTCACGCGCCGACTGCCCAAAGTCAGGTGCTTCACAGCGAAGCCAAAGGAGCCTGGCCTCCCTTGACACTAAGTTGCTCTTAGGGAACTTAGGGGTTCAGGGGTTAGGGTTTAGGGTGTAGGTTTTAGGGATTAGGCTTCAGGGCTTAGGGTTGAGGGTTTAGGGATTATGTAGGGTTTAGGGTTTAGGGATTAGGCTTTAGAGATTACATGAGATTTAGGGATTAGGGTTTAGGGCTCAGGGCTCAGTGCTCAGGCTACTTTGGGGGGTATATAATAGGGGATAGTGGAAAGAACATGGAAGGGAACTTTGGGTTTCCTTTGGGGTTATGTAGGGATAATGGAAAAGAAGCTGCCTTAAAATTAGGGGTAGCTCATTTGGGGGGGGGGGTCTCCATAAGAGGGTTTTTCATATTTGGAAGTCTATGTTGGGGTCTCCCTGTTTGAGAAATTACCACTCATACAGTAACTTGCCATAGTGGATTTAGGGTTGTTGGAAACTATCGTTTTGTTGAGGATTGTGTTGGACCTTGTATGGGGATAGGGACTTGTGGAGAATCAAATGGAAAGCAAATGGAAAGCGACGTGAAAATTCGGGCTGCATAGGGCGCATATAGGGGCTTAAGGAGCTCAATTCAGCGACTTCTACAGGAAACTAATTTGTTTACGAAGTATACATATCATGGTAACATTTTTTAAGTTCCAAACCCTAAACCCTAAATCCTATAGACCTTAAGCCCTAAGGCCTATAAACTCTAAATGGCAACCCAGGATACGCCTGGCGCAGCTTTACACATCGGAGGCTGACCTCGGACCCTCGCATCCGGAAGTAGGAGCGGTGGGACATGGAGGGTTGGGTTTAGGGTTTACAGGGTTTAGGGTCTATAGGGTTTAGGGTTTAGGGTTTAGGGGGGTTGTCATGGAGGGTTGGCAAAATCATGATGTTTTTTGGGGTAGCCTACATCTTAGGGGCTGCATTGCAAGTGGAACGCAACAAGGGACCACAGCCCCCTACACATACTTGCCAGTGGCTTCTCCAATTTTGAGGCACGGGTTTCTTTATAGAAGGAATCACACCCGATCCTACGGCATCACCCATTTCCTTCATGCACTTTCTTCAAGTCCTGAGGTTTCAAACTGTAACATGATTTCGGAGCTGGAAGGAACCTTCCAGGCTTTTTGCAGACTGGTTCCCGTCCTATCCTTGACCAAACTAGCCCGTGAATAGACCAAAAGGCCATTCCCACTTGATCCCACTTGTAACTCTTTCCTTGACAGAACATCCTCAGGAGCAGAACGGAGCCACATAATTTCCGAGGCTGTCACTTTCTGAAATGCAAGATGTCCACTCGATTTTCTGCTTCCTTCAACGCAGCGCTGTCGTCGTATCCAAGACATGCCTAGTGTAAAAAACCGCAGGATGGACAAGGCACATGTTGAAGTTCCCAACATCCATGCGTTGATTGATTGCACTGTCCTTGTATGACATTTGGCTGTTGCAAAGGCAGAGCCTCTGGCATTCCGAAATCCTGTTCTTTTTCCGGCTGGTTTGATGGCACAGCAACCGTATTCTTCCTCTGTGAGGCTCAATTTGACCATGAGGTTGCCGGCCTCACCCGATCCGGGTTGAAATTGACCTCAGAGCCTCTGCGTGAAGTGGACACTTCTCCGTAGGTCATACTTGCATCTAGCACCACCTAGGGCTTCTACAAACAGGCTCCTTCCAGAACAACGGGCTTCAACCTTTTTGCTTTTGACTCTCGCGCCTAAGCTCCAGCAAACCATAGTTGTTTTTGCTGAAGAAGCTGCAGCTGACTGAGAGGATTCAGGGGGCACATCAAAATCCGCCACCCCAATGCTTTTGCTGTGAAGGAGTTCGGGAAGATCTGGCAGAGGCTATTTCGCGCCTCTGTCGGTCGCAACGGGGACCCTGGGCCAGCAGTTTGAGGTTGTTCGCCTTGAGGATCTCCAGTTTCAAGGTTTGCGGTGTTGGCCATCTATTTATGACAGGTGTTTGTGCAGCTTTCGGGGTCCATTCAGCATATACCCGAGTCCACCGAAGCCCAAAGGCTCACCACACCTGGCCGCGTGCAAGAGGCGTCCAGATTGGACGTGCTACAGTGTGCCTCTTGTTGTTCTCCAATAAAGGTAACCATCAGGCCGTGAACCAGGGACTCATTCATTCGGAATCTCGCGCATACTACATGTCATTCCGCCCTTGCACCACCACCCTGTCCGAGCTGGGTCACACCAGGGGTCACACCAGAGATGATTATTCCAGGCCCCTGCACAAAAAGCGCGTTTCAGACGCGAGAACCAAGTCAGCAAGTCGGCATAGGAGCCTTCCGGACCGCAAGCGTTTATGCCCCTAGTCTTACCTTTTGGTTAGCTGGGAACGCAGGAATGGAAAAGCAAATGGAAACGATTACAACGGGTTATATAGGGAGTACTACAAGGATCCATCCTTCATTCCTAGCTAAACAATGAGGTAAGTAATGCCCCAGCATGTGTTGAACTGCCACCTGGCCTCAGTGATATCCCACGAACGGGTGTGGGTTGAGTGTTTGGTCTTGTGATTGATTGAGCTGCTCAATCAAAAGCATACTGACTACTTTCGGGATTCCTTCAGTCTCCAGAACTGACAAGATTGATCTTTAAACAGGCTGCCAATGTCCAGAGCGGGGAAGAACGGAGCAGCTTAGAACTTGCGACGCTTGCTGATTGTCAAGGTTTGCGTGCAGCGTTGCTGGACAAACTCCGGGACGACCGCAAGTATACTGACATATCCTATTTCCCAAGGATTAGAGTTTAGGGTTTAGGATAATAAGTGTAATACCCTACTTTTGATTGTTGAGGGTTTGGGGTGAGAACTGTAATACCCTACTTCCCAGGAATTCGGTACATGGGGTCATGAAGGATCTTGTCCATCAACTGTACCATGGCTCAACAGAAGGCCCCACTGGGCCCCAAACCATGCGTCGTGAATCCGAAGCTCCAAAGAAGGGTAGCCTCATGCTATCCGCCCACAAACGCCAAGGTTTCGGGTTTGGGGTTTAGGATCCCAAGACACCTGTGAAATGTCCGGTGGAAGTTCGAAGCCTTGTGAAGACCCGAAAGCCGCCCAAATTGGGGTGGTTAGTATATACTAAACCTTAAACCCTTAACCTATAGGGAATAAGGGAACATGACCATATTCCTTTAGTCTCTACTGATCCCCCACTCAGCCTAGGAACCACAGATATGTCTACCTGTGGTTGGGAGCTCGAGTCGCTCAGCTCAATTCCTGTTGCAAAGAGGACCCAGAATATTGTGACAAGTATATTAGAGGCAATATTAAGGGCTAGATATATATATATATGTATATGATTACGTTACAAAACTTATCCAACTGTTACTGACAAGGACTTAGGATATTGTGACAAGTATATCGTACTAGACTAAACTATTGGAATCGAACGAAAGGCAGTGAAACGTTGTAAGGCTTTCCTGGCTTCAGACGGGCTAGAACAACTAGGCCGCATGGAAATGGGTGCTTTTAGTTCTGGGTTAACCGTTTACGAGTAAGGTCTCATTGTTTATTGAGGTTCTGCAGTTTGAGGGGTTAGGACGTGTTCTCCCCCAACAGTACAGAATGTCTCTGGCTAGCCGTGCTGTTGGTGTAATGTATTCAATTGAGGGTTCCTTCAACCCCAAACCCTGAAAACCCCGCACCTGATCTCATAAAGCGAATTTCTCCACGCTTGCCTGTCATGGCCTACTGAAGGGACGCTGGTTGATTACCTGTAAGCCAGTCAGATAACTCAGCTTCAGTGCTCTCAAATTGATTCAAGATTTCCCTGCTTTGGTAGAACGTCCGCCTTACTCAAACAATCTCACCAGTCTGCGGGACTTATTGTTCTCTTTGGGTCGTTGGGTTCGGATTTCTCTCTGAAGTCTGGGTAGAATCTGGGTGCTGGTGTCCCGCTGTGTCAGGCCAGCACGAACCCCACACCAGATGGCGACGATCCATGCAGTAGCTGGCACGGTGCTTGCAACAGAGTTTCAAGGGAGGCACGAAGTGGAGGTGGATTTCCGAAAATCAGGGTTTCGGACTATTTAGGGTTTAGGGTGTAGCGTTTAGAGTTTAGGGTTTAGATTCAGGGTTTAGAGTTCCCCTTAAGTAGATAGAATATGGGGTATATGGGGACCTTATTATACTATACCCAAAGCCATATTCTATCTACTTAAGGGGGACTATAGGACTGTTATCCCCCATTAATGAAGAATAGAATGGAAAAGAAGATGAAAAATCAAATGGTCTTGGTGAATGTAGAGTGTAGGGTTATGTGTTTCCTAAAATGAGGGGTACCTGTTTTGGCGGTCCCTATAGTAAGGATTCTAGGATATTGGGGTCTATATTGGAGACCCCCTATTGAGGGAAACTACCAGGTTGTGATTTATGTGGAGGGCGTCGATGAAGTCATCGAACATGGCCTCAAAAGCGGAAAACCAACATCTGCGCCCTGCCTCTCAATGAATGCCTCAGTTCTCTGGAATGTGACCTGCTTCTTTCCGAGCTATGTGGGCAACGAATATTTCTCTGAAGGCATTGTGTACGCCCTGGCTGAGACCAGCATGCGCACCTGGACTTCCAGTCAGTATCTTTACTATTTAGGGTCTATTATTTAGGGTTTAGGGTTTAGGGTTTATCTTGGGTTATGATGACTACTTCGCATTGTAGATGCCCAGATCAACTGTTAATATGTTCTGCAGCCGAAGGGAAAGTTCACCTTAGCATCTAGCTCCTAAACCCCTGAACCCCTAAACCCTAAACCTCAGCATCTTCATCCAGGTGTGCGATGCTCCATCCCTGCCGGCGCAGCCGTGACTGCATCATCTGGAGGCTTGCAATTCAACCTGAACTTGCAGATTGAGAAGTCTGCAACTTGGTATAGGGGTTCAGGGTGTAAGTAGGGTATACGGTTTAGGGTTTGTGGTGTTTTTTGCGGTTTGGGGTTTAGGGTTTAGGGTACGTAAGGGCTGACATAGCTACCAACAACATGGTTCTAGATTCCTTCTGCAAATGTGGTATAGGGTACCTGGTACCTGACATAGACCTCAACACGACATTGGTAATTATTCAGGATAACACCAATCTATCCCTTATAATCAGTTCCGATTTGATCTTCCAGCTGATTACCCATTTTCGGGCCTCAATACCCGTAAAACCCAGATCCTACACCCTAATGAAATCCTAAACTCCTAAGACCTAAGCCCTTAACCCAACACCTTATGGTAGTAACTTAGGTCCTTACACCACCCAAGCTGCCTTAGCGACCATGGCTTGAGCTCCAGGTTTGGGTGTTTGAGCATGTATGGTTTGAAGTCATGCCGCAATTCAATGCACACTCTGTTGTTTCGGGTTTAGGGTTTAGGGTTTACAGGGTCTAGGGTTTACCCGAACCCCCAAAGTAGGTAAATAACAGCCCAAATCATTTAAAAGTAGTCCAGAAGGCCATTATTCTACATACTTTGGGGGCTCAGGCAGGGCCCTCTGTAGCAGAAAAAGCCAAGGTAATGGCCTTGTCCTTCCGATCGCGCCCGGACACAGGGAAAGGCAAAATCGTGGCTTGCTCAAGGCCGATGTGGGATGTTGGAGAGATCGTTGCATGGCATTCGGTGGAACAAGGTTTGAAGATGTCGCTAAATCATAGTAGAACATTGCAGGCCAACTCGTTTCGAACGCTTGCCAGGCTAAACGGGCCTCTCAGTGATGCAGCCCTCATTTTGGGTGTTCCCTATGATGCAGTATTTTACGGATCATAGTTTAGATCCCTAAGGGTCCAAGTAGCCAATAAGCATGTACTTTACAAAAAACCTGTACAACAATTCTTATTACCCATATACCAAGTACCTAAATATTGGATACTTAGACCTTTGGGGATGGCATGTTCCATGAAGTAGCCAGGTTTCAGAGTATCCAACGGCGGTTCGAGACTGGTTGGATTATCACTACAAGCTGCTTGGCTTAGGGTTTACCTGAACCCCAGGAATGTGTAGAATAATGGCCTGTCGGACTAGTTTTTAGATGTTTTTGGATTATTTCACCTATTTTGGGGGTTTAGGGTATAGCGTTTGGGGTTTAGGGTTGAGGTAGTGTTTGGGGGGTTTCGGCTTAAGTACCCTACACCCTAAACCCTAAGTCCCTAAACCTTAAGTTAGTTCAGGAGCCTCAAATGGTCAGCCAGGTTTAGAGCCATCACAAGAAGCTTTCATGTCAGGCTGTGGAGCTAGGAGTTGCAAGTTCAGGGATTCTCGTAAGTAGGTTCTAGATGGGTGGTTGTCAAAATTATGGTCCCTTCTTGGGTCCCTATTATAATACGGCACCTAATATTTAGGTACCCAAAAAGGGACCATTATTTTGACAACCACCCAGATGATGTTATAAGTCACCTAATTGAGTTGGCCTACTTATAACTTCAATTAGAACCTACTTACAATGTCCCATGAAGGCTCGGTATCTCGTACTTCGACCTCTACGACGATGATGGGTCGCTGCTGCCCCACATACCTGAATGGATGATGCGGGATGGCGTCGTGAACTATTTTGCGAACTGGCCACGGAGGTTTGGAAAATTGGACGGCGCGACTCGACGGGGGTGGCGATATTGCACAGAGCTTCCAGGCTCAATTGGGTAGAACTCCTTCAGTTAGTTGCCCGCCTTCAAGTAAATTGGGGCTGCACCCTCTGGAGTCCATAGCATATGCATGTACCTTCCATGCATGGCTGCCAGATTGAATCAAAAGTGAGTCAACCATCAAGGAATGCAACTTAAGGTAAGTTGAAGTACGCAGCGGGAGGAGGCAGCCCTGTCGTACTCACGCTTGTGACCCCATCCCCCAAGAAGTTGCTCAATCTCAACCTATAGTGCCCCTTAAGTAGATAGAATATGGGTTACATGGGGATCTTGTTATATTATACCCGAAGCAAGATTCTATCTTCTTAAGGGCGAGTATAATACTAGTTTTAATCAGGTTCCTGTCATGGCTGCATGTCCATCATAATGGAACTTCCCTTTTTTTTGGAGAGGGGGCCTACCTACAATTGGGATAGGAATATTGGGGCATATTTAGTGCAGCGTTGGCCACGCCCTTAGCCCCTCCTCCGCATGGTCATGGTCCTATTACCACCCCACCCCGCAATTGAGGTTTGTCGAATGTTTGCAGTGTTGGTAGAGTGTCTATGACCTATTACCACCCCCTCCCACCCCCCTCCCGTGGTCATGTGGCCTGTGGGGTATGGGTCTGGTGTCTTAAATGAAGGTGTTTAGAAGAAGGTCTATAGTGTATGTAGAGCGTTTATAACCCATTACCCCACCCCGCCCCCTGTGGTCCTGTGGCCTGTGGTCTGGATCTTGCCGTTTGCATTAGGTTTATGAAGGTTTTTAGCAAATCGCGATGAGGACCATTCCGATCCCTGTGATTGTTGGTACCTTTGACGCGGCGATGGCACCAGGGGTTAAAAGTGACGACAGTTAAAGGCGGCTCTGAGCCGCCAAATACGACGACAGTTGCGAGGATGACGAGCCGAGTCGCCCAATCCCTGTGACCGTTGACACTTCTGCGGCGTAGGGGGGGTGTGGGGGGGTACGATGGGAGGGGGCGGGGGCGCTGACGCGGCGACGTGCCACCATGTAAGGGGCTCCCCTATTTATGGAAACTTGCGAATATGGACACTGCCTAAAATGGGGGCAGTTCAGTCCGAGATCTACATTCGTTCATTCGAAAGCGGCACGCACAAGAGGTTCCTAGAACAGGCGTGTAGGACTGTGCTCACCTAACTCTTTCGAAGCATCAGGGCGCCCCAAGTTCCCCTTCAGTAATGAGATCCTTGTTGTGAAGGCTCGCAGCATGTTCTTAATTTGGAAGCGTAGTGGACCTATACGACGTATGAAGAGAAACAGAACACCTCTGACACGTATGGAGGGCATATTGAAGATTAGGGCCTGGGTGGTCGGGTGGGTGAGGTAACATACTTGGGGGGAAGGCATGGCACAGACGCGTGTACGTTGATTTGAAGACTGTGCTCAGAGTTTTCCTTATGCCCTATAAGGGTCTTTGCAATCATTCCCCCTCTACACGGGTCGTAAGATTTTGGGGTAATGTAAGTGGGCTCCCTTTCAGAGAATGGAACCGTACCTCACGTATCAAATCACCCGAAAGCACTTCAACCCAAGGATCCTGGCAAATAGTAATACTAGTGACTCTCATCATTGTATTCAGAATTATAGTAGTTATAGTAACAATTAATAAGAATAGTAACAATATTCATCATCGTGGTAATAATACGAACCATAACAGTAAATGATTATAATAGGAATAGTATCAATCTAAGGATCCTGGCATTCGATCACTGTGCATACCGAAATGCCGGGTATGCTGACTGGTTGATCAACCTGGGAAGCGCTTCTGCTGACTTAGGGGCAGTATAGGGTTTAGGGCTTAGGAAAAGAGAATGGAAACTATTATTTAGGTAAACTGCAATTTGGGGTTATCTATCGCTACAATGGAAAAGAACTGGAAACGACCATTTAGAGTTATGTATGGGCAAAATGGAAAAGAAGATGGAAAGTACTAGTTTAGGATTCAGGGTTTAGGGTTAAAACCCTAAACCCTAAACCCTAAACCGGGTTTAGGGTTCAAGAATGAACCTGGAGCTCCAAGTATTAGTGCATGCCCAAACAGGTTTTCATGGCACGCGCATACCTTGGGCCCGACGTATCAATGTAGGAATCTTTGTCCCTAAAATGGCATCCTGCATTGGTACTTGGACCCTTAAGGGGATGTTTAGAAGCCCATCTTCAACTTGCTAGCTGTTTGTGCGAGGGCTTCTTCCTGATGCTCACAACCTCCTGCACCCCGAATATATTAGGGTGTGGACTGGGTATTCGAATATCACAGTGGGAAGCCAGTCACTTTTTTGCTGACATCTTGCTGCTTCACCTTCCATCTTCGATCCATGGTTCTTCTTAACCTCCACTTCTCCCTTTAACCCTGCACTATATCCTGAACCCTAGAACCGAAATCTTGGAATCCCAAACCCCCCTCAACCTAAATCTTGATTCCTAAGCCACAAAGTTTCTTGCGTAGCTTTCCGTAGCCTACATTAGCCGAGTTCGTTTCATGGTGCGTTCAAAAGCTTGGGTCCCTTTTACATACTCTAAATACGATGGTCCTCTTTATTGTCGGCACTCTGAACATTTTGTCCCCCGTTTTGGAAACCCGCACATATCCAAACAAAAAATATCGTGTGTATGCCGGAGGCCAGAAGCGTAACCTCGAAAAGTCTGTGTTTGAGTCCCTTTCTGTGCCTAAAGGCCAGCTAAATTTGAATCATACAACAATCAGTCCTCATTTTAGGAACTTCTTACTAGTAGTACCACTACTTCTACCATTATTATTCTTACTACTATTACTATTACTATTACTATTACTATTACTATTACTATTACTATTACTATTACTATTACTATCACATTTATCATTGCTACGACTACTACTATAATTATTGCTATTATTGTTATTACTACTATTCCTGTTTTCTCGAAATCCAAGCGGGATTACATACAGAGATTATGGCGGTCACCCTGTGGAATTCTGTCAGGGCGAATGTTGAGGCACTCCCACTTGAAGGCTCCTGGGTAGTTGTGCTTGGGGTCGTGGCAAAATAATGTGGGTAAATCCGCTCTTGGGTTTAGGGTAAGTGGTTGTAGTTGAAGGCAGGGTTTGTATTGCTTCACGTAGAAGTAGTCCTGAACACCCAAAACCCTCAATCCTCCAAGTACTGTGCATCTAGCGAATGGGGTTTAGCCTTGAGACTTCCCCATCTGAGGAATGTTCTAGGTTCCGGTACATGGCACAGGGATCCTAAACCCTGAACCCTACACCTTTAACCCTAAAGGTTGGGGTTTGGGGGTTTAGGGGTTCAGAGGTTTAGGATTGGGGTTAAGGGATTGTTTATGGTTTAGGGCTTGGGGTCCATTAGGTGTGGAGTGTCCAGGTCACCCCATAGCAAAACACCTTGAACTCCTATGGAGAGTCAATTGCAAAAGACAAGGAAAATGGAAACTTGGATCATATAATGGGGATTCATCGGGATAATTACCAGCGTCAGGTTGCTGGATTAAAGGTTCAAGGTTTACGGTTTAGGGTTTATAGGGTACCTCGAAAGATCTCAACATAGTATTTCACATTATTTAAGCCGCTACATTACACGAAGGCTTAAGTTGTGTCAAGGTGGTACCTTCAGCAGAAGGACGCATACGGAATGTTGCGTGAAGGGAGAGGAAGTCTTGTGACAGTGGACAGCCTAGGCCATTCGGGATTCACTTGGGGAACTTAGCAAGTTTTTCCCCACACCCCTGAACCCTAAACCCTAAACGGTTCACCGCACCAAAGTGTCCTTGTCCGGTCCGGACAACCCCCGATCTTTGCGGTAGGCTGCGGCGGTGGCGAAAAGCTGGGCGACCAACCCTTGCTGCATGGCTGCACTCGTCTAAGGAATTTGGTTTCGGCTTAGGGTGTAAGGTGTAGGCTACGGGCTTAAGAATTGCAACGAGATTCTTTTGAAGGGCAGGGA